CTTGCTTGCTTGCTTGCTTGCTTGCTTGCTTGCTTGCTTGCTTGCTTGCTTGGCTTGCTTGCTTGCTTGCTTGCCAGTTCTATTTACTTACTTTCAAAATAAGCCAGAATCAAATTCAGGTTGTTTGACGTCATTGGATGTATCTAATTTGCAATTCCTTTGCAACTATTTAGATCTTGGTATGAATGCTGGTAAAGTGCAACCACCTGCAGGACTTCCTACTGCTCCTGGTGGCACCAAACCCGCTCCTGGCACACCACAGGTCCCTGGTTCTGCTGCTCTAAAACCTGGTACTCCAGTTGGAACTTTAGCCTCTGATGGACTTGGTATAATACATTGTAAGTGTCCACATTCTTATTTAATGTGTATCCAGTAAATGTTTTGTTCGTTTGTTCACATAATTCGGTATGCTTTTACCAAAGGCTTTATAGTTTAATTATTATAATGGTTTGATGCATTGTTTTATTGTTCATAGTGTTGATGCCAACTGTGTGCAAGGGTCCCGTGGACATCACCTTTGTTATTGATGGTTCTGCTAGTGCAGAATACAACACTCATGGAGGCTTCAGACGGACGTTAAAGCTTGTCAAAGAATTTGCAAACAACTATATAGTTGGTCCACTGAACACAAGATTCGCTTTGGTTGTATTTGCTTCTGAAGCTGGCACGATATTCAAGTTTGAAACTCACACGACCAAAGCAAGTCTATTGAAAGATGTTGATAAGATTCAATTCCCTGGAACAACTTCGTTCCTTGGCAAAGGTCTTCAGCAGGCAAAGGATGTGGTAAGTTTGTTTCTTTTTTTCTACATTGAGTGAAGTTGCTTCATCAAAATGTTGGTAGAACGAAACTGACAAACACTTTGCTATGACAGCAAAGCTACAAAAGCAGCCATTCCACTTTTGATAACACAATTAAAAACACACTTATTTTTGCTTCCTATTCAGGTTCTGGCAACCAGGAGAACAAATGTTCCTCAAAAGATGATTGTAATCACGGACGCTCTCAGTCACGATAATCCTTTTATTGTTGCTTCTCAAATCAAAGCAATGAATGTGGAGATATTCGCAGTTAGTGTTGGTATTCGATCCAAGAAGAGTGTGCTAGAGTCAATTGTCTCTCAACCTGTCAACAAACATTTGTTCTCGGCCAAAGATAGCTTGGAAAACCTTCTTAATGCTGTCAAGACAGGCTCCTGCAAAGGTAAGCTAGATAGCATCCTGTAGTAACACAGTTGAATTTGTTCTGAAATATTAATTTTACGTATTTGAAGCAAGCGTTTGTAAACGTGTCCTTGCCTGTCCTCCAACCAAACCTTGTTCCTCGCCAAATATAATTAGGAATATTTTAATATTGCGTTCCGTTGAGGCCCAACTTAAATATGATGCTTATTTTTTGCTGATTTTTGTTTGGTTTCATTTATATAGCTCCTGTATTAGGACCACCAACTCCAATCTCACCAACAGGTCCCATTACACCTGGTGGCCCAAATGTTGAAAGTAAGTTAATTTTAAAGAGAACTCAGATGCCAAATCTGTGTGTTATTAATCTGTTCTCTCATTTACTCATTGAAAAATCTTTCGTTTCATAGTTCTACTAGATATTGCTTTCTTGGTGGACGCTTCTAAAGATGTCACTGAGATTAACTTCAGACTTGAGGTGAAATTTGTCACAACCATCGTTCAAGCAATGGTTATCTCCAAGAAAGGAATCCATGCTGGTTTCGCCATCATTTCTGGTGATGGTCTTCTGATCAGTGACTTCAATTCTAACACCGATACCGCAAGCTTTGTTTCAGCAATTAGAAAGTCACCTTATCCAGGTGAAAGTCGTCAAGCAGGAAAGGGTATTGTACTTGTCAAAGATAGCTTGTTTGGAACAAGTGGGCGTAAAGGAGCCACTAAGGTAATATATGGCGATGGAAATTATATAATGTTGTACAGGTTAAGGTCTCTTGCAGATCTCTTCTTAGTCTCGGGGTGTTTGTGGTAAAATAGCTTGTGCATATGCCATGAGAGCATGGTTCGATTTCTGCATGATGCAGTTTCTGTTATAGTTTCACATCAGTTGCATATGAGAAGTTTACCTCACACTGCTGTTTTTGGACAACTCGAAGAAGTTGCCCAGTTTTTCTGTATCGATACTAGATGGTTTTCCCTTTGAAAAACTTGCACATAATTGATAGAACTGCCGATTATAAATAAAGTTAGTTTGATCTAGTTTGAAAGGATTGTCCCAATTTGTATTCAAGCATTTTGTGTACGAATTGCAATAGCTGCAAAACTGACAAGCATTTTGATAAAACATTTATAGATCTTAGTTGTTTTACTGACTGGAAAGTCCAAAGATGATATATCTGTTCCTGCCGACCAAATAAAGAAAGCTGGTATTAGCAAGGTTATTGTTGTCGGTATTGGTCGAGTACCCTCTGAGGATCTCAAGAATACGGCTTCTAACCCACAAAATGCTTTAGTTTGCCCATCATATCCACAACTACCAGACAGAGTAGCAGATGTTATTGCACTGATCAATGCGGGTAATTAAAACTTTGTATATATATTAAAGCTTCATAGAACCAATAGTTGTATTGGTTGCAATAAATCGTGTTGGATAGTTCGATCTTATGTGAAATACGAAAGTGGGCACGATTGGTATGTGAGCAATTTAGCCTATGTTTATTTAATCCCTATGTAGTTAAACACAAAGTAATTATTAGGAACAACGTTTCTTTGTTAATTAATCTAATCAATGATTCAAGTGTTTGTTCTGTAATTCCCTTTGTCAGTAGTATAAAATTCCCAATTTTAACACTGAGAAGCAAAAATTTATTTTGAACTAATAAAATCTTCTACCTCTTTCTTATATAGCTACAGGCCAGAAGATTGCTGAAATCCCAGTCACACCAGGAACACCTGGTGTCCCAGGAAAGCCAGGAACACCTGGTGCCCCAGGAAAGCCAGGAACTCCAGGATCCCCTGGAAAGCCCGGTGCCCCAGGAACGCCAGGTGCTCCACAAGGGCCTGGTGGTCCAGGTGGTATTGGTGGTCCAGGTGGACCTGGCGGACCCGGCGGACCTGGAGGACCAGTTGCAACACCAACAGCACCTGGTACTCCTGGAGTTCCTCAAGGTCCTGGAAAAGCTCCTCTTGGACCTCCTGGTACCAAGGTTGAAGGTAATTACGATTTTTCTTCACAGTTTATTAAAGTCCATTTACAAAGTACTAGAAACTTACGCATTTCGATATATAAATGTTAGAATATTCCATTACTTGGAAGTCTTACGTGTCTGGCAGTGAAATGTAGTGTTACTTGCCGCATAACTTTATCAGATAACTCCTTGTAAAACTCGTGTAAGAAATATCAAAGCAGACCTGATCAGATGGGTTAATTGTCAGGTACATTATTGTTGAAAATCATTTTTTTCTTCCCTTAGCTCCTTTGGATATTGTGTTTGTAATTGATGGATCAACAAGCGTTGGTTTTGATGACTTTAAGCTCTCAATCAAATTTATAATCAGTATAATCGACGCATTCCCTGTCACTCCATGGGGCGTTCACATTGGCGTCGTTGTTGTACAACCTTCAAATCAAATCGTGCTAGAACTTGGTAAATACAAAGAGAAAGCTCATGTGGATGCTGCTATTCGTCAGATAAGCTACCCCAATGGCGATAACAGTGTTGGTGGAGCCCTCACACAGGCAAAGAATGTTCTTGATCGTAGCAAACGTACAGTACCTAAGGTTGTTGTATTGCTATTGGATAACAAGGCTGCAGATGATGTGTCTAATCCGAGCAATGGACTGAAAATTTCTGGTATTGGTGTGGTGGCTATTGCTGGTAGCGGTGATGTTGACCAAGCCCAGTTAAATATTATTACTGGTACGCCTGAAAATGTAGTGACAACAACGAGTTATTCCAAATTGCCATCAATTTTGGGGACTGTTATTGAAAAGATCAACAATAGTAAGTTATTCTAATTTTTATTTTTTCTTTGATACACATTATCCTGTTAGCTTCTGTCTCGTCTTGTGTTGTCTGTAGTAGGAACAGACTGAAGTATTGCTCCCTCTCATGCTCAATATAATATTTTTACTTTTTCAGTTATTGGACAACCTATTGGAAAATTGCCTCCATCTGGCCCAACAACGCCTGCTAAACCTTCTCGTCCTGGTGCACCTACTGGTCCCCAAAGTAAGTCAAAATACTTATTGCAATAAATTCATTCTCGTATTTGTATAATTGTTCTATTCATACCAATACCCTACCCATTAAGTAGCACTTTTATCTTTCATAACCAAAATACATACAGCACCTCTGATGAAGGCATTAACTAGACTGGAGTGTGAAATGTTCGGTCATGAATGTAATTTGGTCAAGGATTACTTTCAATCACTTATAACAGAAGAGCAGGCGATAACATATCTAATCATTCCTTTCAGATAAAATCTACTTGGTTAAGGTAGTTACTGGTACGAAATTCTTTGGTGGAACAAACCAACCAGTCTTCTTGACCATCCATGGCTCTAAAGGTGTAACAAAGGAAATTGGTCTCACACGAAGAGATCCTAAAAAGGCTAAGGCCTTGTTTGAACGTGGAAGGTAATTAAAGCATTTACTGGTTAAACCTGTGCAGAGATAAACAGAATAGAGGGAAATTTAACTAAGAAAATTAATAATGTAATTTTTAGTTAACATGGGCAATTTTGTGTTGACACATTTTGAGAGGAATATATACTTCCTATAACTCTTTCATGAAAAAACGGTTTGCTAAACGTTATTTTTCATTTCCACCTTGTAGCAAAGATCTGTTCAAATTGGACACGACAGACTTGGGTGATCTGATAAAGATAATTGTACGAATGGATATAACCAAGGGAACGGGTCTTTTCGGAAAGATTGATGATTGGTATCTTTTGAAGGTTGGTGAATTTTATGCTGATCATGTTGGCAATTTTTCTTTCCTTTTTAAATTTTTATACCAATATGGTAGGCTAACTTGTATAATGTTTAATGAAGACTGATGGTGTATATGTTTTCTAGGGTTCGCAGACTAGCTTTTTAGCACCTTAAACCAGCCTTCGATTAATATTATAAATTATTGGAAAAAGGACGACTCTTATTGTTGGTATTTGCTTTAACAATCTTAATCTCGTGTGTAGGTTGTGATTAAGGATACCCGGACTGGTGTGCGATACATATTCCCATGTGGCAAATGGCTTAAGAAAACTCCTAACTCCCATATTCTCCCTGTTGGTAAGAATCTTTTTACCAATTCATGAATTCTTTTTACCATTTCAACTTTTTATCACCGCAGTTGTTTATCTACTTTGTTAGAAAAATGTCATCTGTGTTTCAAAAAGCACTTAATTAATATGGTTTCTGGATTTTATATTATCTCACAAGGTTCATTTGCATTAATATGTCGAATACTTTGTTCTTTAGGCAGGAAAGAACAAGGACCACCAAACGTTGGTCCCACAAAACCAGCACAAGGTTAGTATACATTTTTTTAATGATTTTAATCTATAGATTATTATAGATTATGGTGCTTAACTGTTTCATTTCGGAATATACCAAATTGATGATTTTCAGTATGAGTTACCAAGAGAGCAGGTGGCGATTGACTTTGGAAATGTTGACCCTGATAGCATGAAAATCAAGCTACAGTTCTCAGTTTTATTTATTGGCCACTGAATACAAGGCTATTACTGCATATAATGAAAAAAATGAACTCTAATTTAAACAGTCAGTTGACCACCATTATCTGCATGTTAGTAACGTATTAACTGCAGATAATCTGATAAGTAAAATTATCAGATTACCTTCAATTCCTCTTTATTTCTTTTAAATCTTAAATTGAAACAACCAGCATAATTAACATTGAAACACCTGCATTATTCTTCAGAAAAAGTTGATATTGTTTTCCTATTGGATGGTTCAACACGAGTTGGTCCACGACGTTTTAAGTTGGAGGTATCGTTGTTCGATACTGTTGCACAGTCATTCCCAGTTGAAAAAGATGGAGTATACTTTGCTGGTATTGTATACTCTACCACGAGCAAGGTTTCCTTCCAACTTAACACTAACACAGACAAGCCTACCCTCTCTAAAGCTATTCAAGCTATGCCATACATCGGTGGTGGTAGGAACGTTGGAAAGGCCATTGCTTCTGTGAAGAGTGGTGTCTTTGATGTCAGTGGCCGTCCTGGTGTACCAAGAGTAGTGGTTGTTCTTATGCTTAAGAAATCAGCAGATGATATGGTTGTACCAGCAACTGCTCTTAAAGGAGGACAAGGAGTAAAGTTGATAATGCTTGGTATTGGAAAAGGTGTGAATCCATCAAAACTTGCACCTGTTGCAACGTCGCCTGACTTTGTTCTCATTCAGAGACCTATGCGTGAACTGGGTACACAATCTGGCCCATTGGTTGGCAAAATCAATAGTGGTAAGTAACAAGCTTATTTAAGCAATATGGCGAAACCTCAACCTAATCTAAAACGAAACACAATCTGAAGATAATAGTCTTGAAACTTAGCATATGAGTTAAAGCAAGACGAGAATGAGTTTGTGTTATTGTGCATCATTAACTGCATAAAAGTAAACATCACCTTGTTGTTTTATAGCTATTGGAAAGGAAATTGGTAAACCATTACCTGGACCAGTTGGCCCAAGTGGTGAGACAATTGGTAAGTGTGTAAAATATTGTCAAGGCATCTTTAGTACGTTTCAACTGCGGTAATCATATACATTCATTCTACACACTAACGTATTCATATTCTCATTATTGACAATAGATTATATGTTTCTAGTTGCTCTTGATTTGGCATTTGTTGTTGATGGCTCAAATACCGTTGGACCTCAAACCTTCAAACTGATTGTTGAATTTATCAAATTCATATACCACGTATTACCTGTGTCTGCTAAAGGAACTCATATTGGGATGGTCACCTTCAGTAATGTTGGTAACATGGTATTCAACTTTAGACAACATAGGACCATGAAATCTTTGGATATGGCAGTAGATCAACTCAAACCCCCGGGTGGCACAAAGAATAATGTCGGTGCTGGCTTAGCAGCTTCACATTCACAATTGTTCGGTACCAGTGGACGAAAACGCAAACACGTGAAGAAGGCCGTGGTAACATTCTTGGTTGGCAAAGCTGATGATGATCCAACAGTATATTCAAAGAAAATTAAATCTGAAGATATTGTTTCGGTCGTCATTGCTATAAATAGTGATATGGTGCCAGTGAAGTTGATTGCAAGCTCGCCTGACCACATACTTTTCATCACTCACCCAGCACAGTTGGTTGTTTTTGTGGATAAAGTTATTGAAATGATTAATAAAGGTACAGTAGCGTATTTTTTAAAAGACTTATTAGTTTCTAACTGCAACGAAAATATTTTAGCTCTTGCGTTCTTCCATCATTGTGCTGGAAGACCTTTATTCCTCTTTAAATTTGAAAATATTCTCAGACATCATTTGTTTCTAAAATAAGCAAGGAGAAATGAATGATCAAAATATTGTTTTCCCGGGAATAAACCCGGGAAAACAAGCGAAAGCTGGCGTACTTGCTGAAAGGCAAAAAAAGTGCCAAGTTCAAGAAGCTTTTTTCTCGTTGTTTATTTCAATTTCTAACGACTTTTGTGTATATTTTAACATCTTGTTCCAACAACGAAAGATAGAAACGAGACTAATAGTTTCATATTCCTTACGATTTTGGAATTGTAGACGTTTGTTGCCTTGTTTTTTGTTGTTGTTTTTGGCAAAAGTTTCTTTTTCCGATTTATCCCAGCATTTTTACTTACGGTAAATATTTCAGAAAAATGACTATACATCTTCTCAAAAGCTTTACTTTAACTTTCATTTATCGATGGTTTTTGGAAAACGCGCTGATCTTTTAGTCGACTTTTTTTCTAGTCCTAGAATAGACAGCAATTTCCCACGTGTGTTTTCGTTTCGTCGGAAAGGCGGACTCCGATTGCGATTTATGAATAAGGTCTATAGCCTTCATAGTTTTGAACTTGAACTTGAACTAATGTTATTGTTTCTTATTAGGTATTCCTGGTGGTGTGATTCCTGATGCTCCAATTGATCCACCTATTGGAGTTGGAGGTCCTGGAGAACCTGGTGGTCCTGGTGGACCTGGTGGTCCAGGGGGCCCAGGTGGACCTGGTGGACCAGGTGGACCTGGGGGATCAACTCCGTCTGGTGGACCTGGTGAACCTGGTGGTCCAAAAGGACCTGGAGGCCCTGAAGGTCCTGGTGGACCAGGGATGCCTGGAGGTGTAGGTGGACCTGGTGGTCCAGGAGGGCCCGGTGGTCCTGGTGGACCAGGCGGAACTTGTGGACCTGGTGGACCTGGTGGTCCAGGTGGACCTGTTGGTCCAACATGCAAGACTGGTGAACCAGGAGGAAATTCTGGACCAGGAGGCCCTGGTGGAACTGGTGGACCAGGTGGTCCTAAAGGACCCGGTGGAAAAGATGATCCGAAGAAACCAAAAAAACCAGCCGGCCCAGGTGAGCCTGGTGGTCCAAATGGTCCAGGTGGGCCTGGTGGGCCTGGTGGACCAGGTGGCCCTGGAGGACCAGGATCTATCAATGGACCTGGCGGGCCTGGTGGACCAGGAGGACCAGGTGGTCCTGGCGGACCTGGAGGCCCTGGCGGACCTGGAGGATCTACACCAGCTGGTGGACCTGGTCAACCTGGTGGACCAGGAGGTCCTGGCGGCCCTGGTGGACCTGGTGGTCCGTCTGGTCCAGGAGGACCAACTGCACCAGGAACACCTCAAACGCCTGGTACTAAAAAACCTCAACCTCCTACTAAACCTGAAAACATTGGTGGTCCTGGGCAACCAGGCGGGCCTGGTGGTCCAGGTGGACCTGGGGGACCTGGCGGACCTGGGGGTCCTGGAGGACCAGGTGGCCCTCAAGCACCTGGAACAGTTCCAACAACACCAAGTCCTCCTGGAACTCCTAAGGGGCCTGGTGGACCAGGAGGCCCTGGAGGACCTCAAGGGCCAGGTGGGCCTGGATCACCAAATGGTCCTGGTGGACCTAATGGCCCTGGTGGACCAAATGGCCCAGGAGGTCCTAATGGACCAGGCGGGCCAAATGGGCCAACTCCACCAGGAGGACCTGGACAACCTGGTGGACCAGGGGGACCTGGAGGCCCTCTTGGTCCTGGTGGGCCAGGTGGCCCAGGTGGACCTGGTGGTCCAGGAGGACCTGGTGGACCAGGAGGACCAACAGTACCTAATGTTCCTGGTCAACCAGGAAAGCCAAATGGCCCTGGTGGTCCAAAAGGACCAGGTGGGCCTAAAGGTCCAGGAGGACCTGGAAGTCCTGGTGGACCATTGTCACCTGGCGGCCCTGGAGGACCTGGTGGACCTGGAGGACCTGGTGGACCTGGAGGTCCTGGTGGACCTGGTGGGCCAGGTGGGAAAACACCTCCTGGTGGACCTGGTCAGCCTGGTGGTCCATTGGGACCTGGCGGACCTGGTGGACCTGGTGGTCCTGGGGGACCTGGTGGTCCTGGGGGACCTGGGGGACAAAAAACACCCAATACTCCTGGTAATCCTGGAAAACCCAAAGGTCCTGGTGGGCCGGGTGGGCCGGGAGGACCGGGTGGACCAGGTGGACCTGGTGGACCTGGTGGTCCTGGTGGACCAGGTGGTCCTGGTGGACCTAAAGAACCAACAAAGCCTAAGCAACCAAGTACTAAACCTGGCCAACCTGGTCAACCTGGTGGACCGAATGGACCTGGTGGACCTAATGGCCCTGGCGGTCCTGGTGGACCAGAAGGCCCTGGTGGGCCTAACGGACCAGGTGGACCAAATGGACCAGGTGGACCTAACGGACCAACAAAACCAGGTGGTCCAGGCCAACCTGGAGGTCCAGGTGGTCCTGGTGGACCTTCTGGTCCAGGTGGACCAGGTGGTGAAGGTGGCCCCGGAGGGCCAAAAGGACCTGGTGGGCCGGGAGGACCAACTGTACCAAACATTCCGGGACAACCTGGGAAACCATATGGCCCTGGAGGCCCTAATGGCCCAGGTGGACCCAAAGGGCCAGGAGGTCCCGGTGGTCCTGGTGGACCTTTAACACCTGGTGGTCCTGGTGGACCTGGTGGACCTGGAGGTCCTGGTGGCCCTGGTGGACCTGGTGGGAGTTTACCTCCTGGTGGACCAGGTCAACCTGGTGGACCTAAAGGGCCTGGTGGACCAGGAGGCCCTGGTGGACCTGGAGGACCTGGTGGCCCTGGTGGGCCTGGGGGACCAGCAACAACACATGGACCTGGTGATCCTGGTGGACCAAAAGGTCCAGGTGGCCCAAGTGGACCTGGTGGCCCAGGTGGACCTGGTGGTCCAGGAGGACCAGGTGGTCCAGGAGGACCAGGTGGACCTGGTGGACCAGGTGGACCTAAAGGACCTAGTGGACCTGGTGGACCAAATGGTCCTGGAGGGCCAAATGGTCCTGGGGGACCAAACGGACCTGGTGGACCGAATGCACCTGGTGGACCCAAAGGCCCTGGAGGTCCCGGTGGACCTGGAGGCCCTGGTGGGCCTAATGGACCAGGTGGACCAAATGGACCAGGCGGACCTAATGGACCAACAAAACCGGGTGGTCCAGGTCAACCAGGTGGTCCAGGTGGGCCTGGTGGACCTTCTGGTCCAGGTGGGCCTGGTGGTGAAGGTGGCCCAGGAGGGCCAAAAGGACCTGGTGGGCCTAGAGGACCAACTGTACCGAATGTTCCGGGACAACCTGGAAAACCCAATGGCCCTGGTGGCCCTAATGGCCCAGGAGGACCCAAAGGACCAGGAGGCCCTGGTGGGCCTGGTGGGCCATTAACACCTGGTGGTCCTGGAGGCCCGAACGGTCCAGGAGGACCTGGTGGCCCAGGTGGACCTGGTGGGAAAACACCTCCGGGTGGACCAGGTCAACCTGGTGGGCCTAAAGGGCCTGGTGGACCAGGAGGTCCTGGTGGGCCTGGAGGTCCTGGTGGGCCTGGTGGGCCTGGAGGACGGCCAACAACACATGGACCAGGGGATCCTGGTGGACCGAAAGGTCCAGGGGGTCCAGGTGGACCTGGTGGTCCAGGCGGACCTGGTGGTCCAGGAGGACCTGTTGGACCTGGTGGACCAGGTGGTCCAAAAGGACCTAGCGGACCTGGTGGTCCGAAAGGTCCTGGAGGCCCAAATGGTCCAGGAGGACCAAATGGACCTGGTGGGCCAAACACACCTGGCGGACCTAAAGGCCCTGGAGGTCCTGGTGGGCCTGGAGGTCCTGGTGGGCCTAATGGACCTGGTGGACCAAATGGTCCAGGTGGACCTAATGGACCAACAAAACCTGGTGGTCCTGGCCAACCTGGAGGTCCCGGTGGGCCTGGTGGACCTTCTGGTCCAGGTGGACCAGGTGGTGAAGGTGGTCCTGGAGGGCCAAAAGGACCTGGTGGGCCAGGAGGACCAACTGTGCCAAACGTTCCAGGACAACCTGGAAAACCCAATGGCCCTGGTGGCCCTTATGGCCCAGGTGGACCCAAAGGACCAGGAGGTCCTGGTGGGCCAGGTGGACCGTTAACACCTGGTGGTCCTGGGGGTCCTGGTGGACCTGGTGGTCCTGGTGGACCTGGTGGACCTGGTGGGAAAACACCACCTCAAGGACCGGGTCAACCTGGTGGACCTAAAGGTCCTGGTGGACCAGGAGGTCCTGGTGGACCTGGAGGACCGGGTGGCCCAGGTGGGCCAGGTGGACCTCCAACACCACATGGACCGGGTGATCCTGGTGGACCAAAAGGTCCGGGTGGTCCTGGGGGGCCTGGTGGAGCAGGCGGACCTGGTGGTCCTGGAGGACCTGGTGGACGAGGTGGACCAGGTGGACCCAAAGGACCTAGTGGACCAGGTGGTCCAAATGGGCCTGGAGGACCGAACGGTCCTGGTGGACCATATGGACCTGGTGGACCAAATGGACCTGGTGGACCAAATGGACCTGGTGGACCAAACGGACCTAGTGGGCCAAACGGACCAGGTGGACCTAATGTACCAACAAAACCAAGTGGTCCAGGACAACCTGGAGGTCCAGGTGGTCCTGGTGGACCTTCTGGCCCAGGTGGGCCAGGTGGTGAAGGTGGGCCAGGAGGGCCAAAAGGACCTGGCGGGCCGGGAGGACCATCTGTACCAAACATTCCAGGACAACCTGGGAAACCAAATGGCCCTGGTGGCCCTAATGGCCCAGGTGGACCCAAAGGACCAGGAGGTCCTGGTGGGCCTGGTGGACCGTTAACACCTGGTGGTCCGGGGGGTCCTGGTGGACCTGGTGGTCCTGGTGGACCTGGTGGTCCTGGTGGGAAGACTCCAACTGGCGGTCCAGGTCAACCTGGTGGACCTAGGGGTCCTGGTGGACCAGGAGGTCCAGGTGGGCCAGGTGGTCCTGGTGGTCCTGGTGGCCCTGGTGGGCCTCCCACAACGCATGGACCGGGCGATCCTGGTGGACCAAAAGGTCCAGGTGGTCCAAAGGGACCAGGTGGTCCAGAAGGGCCTGGTGGTCCAGGTGGACCTGGTGGGCCAGGAGGACCTGGTGGACCCGGTGGACCAGGTGGCCCTA